CAAAAGGCCAATATTTTTCCTTAAAACCTTCAATACTAACTTGCTTTTTAACTAATAATAGTTTTACATTGATTTTTTATTTAAAAAGCTTTTTTAAAAATATCAGAACAGAAAAACAATATTTTATCAAAATAATTTTGATAGTTAAATCATTTTCATAGTCTCATACTAATAAGTATATATTTCTTTTTTGATAGTACCTAGCAAACTATTCCTGGATAATTTATTTTCACACAATTCAAAATTAAAACACTTATCTAAATATGATCTGAAATGAAAGCTAAACACAGTCTATTGAAATAATAAGGAACACTTGCTAGTGTATTTTGGAAGAAATGGTCAAGGATATAAGAATAGAGAAGTCTCTACCTTCTATGAGTAAGGTCCAACCAAAAACCCTCTTTTTATCTCCAAGTACTGATTGCAAAAATCATGGTTAAAAATTAAAACACTCCCAAAATAAAAAATAAAAGAAATAGAAATTCAGCTGGCTATCCAGAAGTAGCGGCTAAAAAGCATAGAAACTACTTGAGCTCTCAGTAGTGTCAGCATATAGCAGTCAGATCACAATCATTCTGATCACATTTGCAAGAACTTTTAAAAACAAACATCTAAAACATTGTGCAGAGGCGGGGGGGAAAGCAAATTACCTAAGACTACACATAGTATTATCCCATAAACACAAACATATTTCTCTAGGTTATATATGCCTAAGATATGTCTGGAGGCATGTTTATCAAAATAGTAACACTTTACATGTGTTATAAAATTTCAAATTTTGTAGTTTCTCTTTGTATTTTTATATGGTACTTGATTTTTCTTTTAAATAGTGACCATCAATTTGTTGACTTCCTGGACAAAATATCTCACACAAAGCAAACTTCAAAACCATGACTTCATGTTCATAATTATTCTGAAAATCAGGTAGCAGCTTTTTGTAGATTCCATTACTTATTCTACATAGATGACCATATCTTCTGAAATAATAGTTTATTTCTTCCTTTGCAATCTGATGTCTTTTATTTCTGCCTGCCTGATTGCACTGACTACAACATCCAGTACCAATATATACATTTTGAAGTGGTGAGAGCTAACATCCTTGAATTATTTCTGACCTTAAGGGAAAGTATACAGTCTTTTGCCATTAAGAATTATGTTAGTAGTAGGCTTTTCTCTAACTTAACTTTTACGAAAGTTAAGGAAATTCCCATCTATTCCTAGACTACTATATTTTATTGAAAATAGATATTATATTTTGGCAAATGGCTTTTCAGTGTCTACTGAGATGATTATAGGATGTCTTTTTTTAGTTGGTTAGTTCGTTAATATAGTGATTATTACTCTAAATACATTCCAAATGTTAAACCTATTCTACAATCCTAGTACACTATTTAATTCTGCAATAAGTGATACAACAGTCGATCCCCAACTTACACTGGTTTGACCTAGGAGTTTTCAACTTTATGATGGTACGAAAGCATTACACATTCAGTAAAAACTACACTTTGAATTTTGAATTTTGATCTTTTCCTGGATAGGCAATATGCAGTATGATACTCTCTTGTGATGCTAGGCAGCGGCAGTGAGTAAACAACCAATATTCTACAGTGTACCATGTTGCCAGTGTTTTTTGAATATTGTGTTTTGTATTTTCACATCCCATATCTACAAAACACCCATCTGTGTCTCCTGCTTTTGGTGGGAAGAGGAAAAGAAAGGAAATTACTCTTGAGATGAAACTAATCTAAGTGTTCTGAGAATGTTTAACATAGGCTAAGCTATGCTGTTCAGTAGGTTAGGTATATTAAATGCATTTTTCCCTTAGAGTATTTTCTAAGTATTAACTATTGGTTTATTGGAACATAACCCCATTATAAGTCGAGGAGAATCTGTATAATGATAGCAGTGTAAATGTGGGTAAGTGATTTTCAACTTTCACTATCACTCTGTATTCAAAGTTGGAAAGATTTAATTATAGATAACAGAATGAAAAATATCAACCTTAATAGAAAAATTAAAATATAGTTAAACAGAAGTTAGGAAATAAAAAGAGGGAAAAGTAACAGAGGGAAGAATAGGGACACTGATAACTTCATCCTACATAATGAGAAGTAAAAGGATTCTACTGAAAGTTGATAAAACAAATTCTAATAAATTTACATGTATTATTTAAAAGTACAAGGTAACCAAAAGAACTGAAATCATTAATGTAATTATATGCAGGAATGTTTCTGATTGGCAAAGTATATTTTTAAAATCTAGTATTTTCAAAGTGGAGTTGAATTTTTTAGGATAAGACACATCCTCCAGTTTGTCCTAGGCCCCGCAACCCATTTTCTATTCTGTTACAACAGGCCAAATCTATGCATTTACAAAATTTTACCTGATCCTCTGACATTTTGAGTTCATCCAAGAAAGAGTTATAGAAATAAGTTTATCCAAAAAGAGTTATAGAAGCAATCACAAAATTAGAAAACGAAATTTGTTGAAAATGGTTATACCCTCCTCCAAATCAGTTGTGTTTCTATACACTGACAACGAACAATCCAAAAATGAAATAAAGAAAATAGTTTCATTTACAATAGTGTCAAACATAATGAAATACTTAGGATTAAATTTAACCATGGAAATGTAAGAATTGTACACTGAAAAGTACTAAACACTGTTAAAACAATTTAAAGAAGACTTAAATAAATGGAAAGTCATCTCTTGGTCATGAATTGGAAGATTTAATATTGTTAATATGGCAATGCTTCCAAAACTGATCTACAGATTCAATATAACCCCAATAAAAATTCCAACTGCCTTTTTTACAGAAAGTTGATCTTAAAATTAATATGGATTGCAAGAGACTTCAAATAGCCAGAAGTATCCTGAAAGATGACAAATGTGGAGGGCTCACACGTCCTGACTTTATAACTTATAATAAAGCTACAGTAATCAAAACGGTGTGGCACTTGCATAAGGACAGATATTTTTAGAATTGAGAATCTAAAAATTAACCCACACACCTGTGGTCAATCAATTTTTGTCAAGAGTGCCAAGACCATTCAGTGAGTCAAAGAATAGTCCCTTCAATAAATGGTGCTAGGACAACTAGATTTCCACATGAACAATTATGAAGTTGAACCCTTAACACACATCATCTACAAAAAGTAACTCAAAAGAAATCAAAGACCTAAACTTAAGAGCTAAAACTATAAAACTTTTAGAGGAAAAACATAAGAATAAATCTTTGTGAGCCTGGATTTAGCAAAGGATTCTCAGATATAACAGCAAGAACACAAGCAACAAAAAAATAAAGTGAACCATCAAAATTAAAAACATTTGTGTACCAAAGAATACTATCAAGAAAGTGAAAATAATCCACAGAATGAGAGAAAATGTTTATAAATCATATATCTGATAAGGGTCTAGTATCCAGAACATATGAAGAACTTTCACAACTCAACAACAAAAAGACAAACAACCCAATTAAAAAATGGGCAAATAAAACTTAAGTAGACATTTTTGCAAAGACCAACAAACAAATGACTAGTTCAACACTAGTCATTAGAAAACTGTAGGTCAAAACCACAATGAGATATCACTTTATACCCACTAGGATGGTTATAATTTAAAAAAGAGAAAAGAATAAATTTTGTCAAGAAAATGGAATCCTCGTTTACTGCTCGTAGGAATGTAAAATGATGCAAGCAGTACAGAACACAGGTGGTTCCTCAAAAATCTAACATAGAATAACCATGTGACCCAGCAATTCCAAAATAATGCACATATTCAAGAAAAATGAAAATCTGTCCACATAAAAATTTGTACACAAATATTCATAACAGCATTGTTAATAGCCAAAAACAAAAATGACCCGTGTCCATCAACCAATAAATGGATAAACAAAATGTAGTACATCCACACAATGGCATAGTATTTTACTATAAAAAGGAATAAAGTACTGATACATGCTACAAAGTAAATAAACATCATGCTAATTGAAATAAGCCAGATACAAAAGGCCATACATTGCTTGTTTCCATTTATATGAAATAAAACGTCCAGAATAGGTGAATTCATAGAAACAGAAAACAGACTAATAGTTCCCAGGGGATGGGGGAAGTGGGGAGACAAGCAGGGAAATCGAAATCAGGGCTTAGTGGGTATGGGTTTCTTTGGGGGTGATGAAACACTCTGAAGTTAAACAGTGGTGATGGTTGTACCACACTGCAAATCTACTGGCAGTCACTGAATTATACATTTTAAAATTATTAAAATTACGAATTTTATATTAAGTGAATTTTATCCCAAAAAAGGTAAAAAGAAAGAAAGAAAGAAAGAAAGAGAAAGAAAGAGAAAGAAAGAAAGAAAGAAAAGAAAGAAAGAAAAGAAAGAAAGAAAAGAAAGAAAGAAAG